AGAGTCTTATTACATTTATCACGGTTTTGTATTTTTTTTATCACAGTTTTGTATTTTTATATCATTGTTTCAACATAAAAATTGTTCTTCCAATAGATATAATATCACAGTTATTTGAACAAAACCGTGATATTTGAAATTTTATATATAGCGGTTTTGTCTTTATATCATGCTTTTCCTTATCACGGTTTCTACAAAAACAAAAACCGTGATAAAAAATGGTGACAAATAGCTTTTATCACAGTTTTTAACACTGTTATATGTTAAAATCTGTGGTAGTGCAACCCCACTACACATATACAACAAGCACAAGATCTAAAGGTGTGTAATTATGTGGTGTTGGTGTTAAGCATGTGAATCTAGTGATGTAGATAAAGACGAGAAGATTGTGAAGTTGTTGTAAAGAAAGATTGCATCAATTAAACACCATGAGAACCCACGACACATGTGTGTTTCAAACAAAGTTATGTGAAGAACAAGTGTGTGTATATGTTGTGTTCTTGTTATCTAGATATGCTTTCAATTAAAGTAGAGAACTAAGAAAGCAAACCAAGCACAAAACACAAGGGTTTATAGTGGTTGGGCAAGGTTGCCTACACCCATTCTTCAAGGGGACTCCGTTGTCTTAGATTCCATTGATGCTTGAGCTAGTAATACACCACTACTACAACTCCTCACATTTAACCTCTTTCTTGAGAAACCTATCTACTATCCTTCAACCTTGATACTTCAATTCCTTTAGAAGCAAGCAACCTAGTCTATCTAAGAATTCATTCTCACATTTTCTCAAAGATGTTTCACACTCAAAGATAACACCTTTAATGACTTTGGGTTTGTCTTTACTCATCTCACTTAATGGGTTGATAGAGAAAGAAGTTGTGGAATACTTAAGTGAAATCAAATGTTGATTCACTTCACATATCATTCCCTCACAAATAGGTTTACAAGAATTAGATGTAAGAAACAATTTGGGATGGATTTGATGAACTTGGAAAGTTAAATCTTCAAGGCTTTTGTTGCCCTTCTTTACTTTAAGTTTCTTCAAAATTTTCAAAGAACAAAAAAGATTTCTTACTGTTTTTATAAGCAAGTCAAAACACTATCCGTTGGTCAAAGTAGTTTGACCATATCAAGATCTTGTCCTGGTCATTGATAAGTCCTCAAAAATGTATATTTATCCCCTGAATAACACATTGTTTGCATAACACTTAGCTTATATTATTGTGTTATATCAATTGATTAGTGGTTTCTTATCATTTGTGTAGGTTTCATGAGCCAAAAGTTGATTATTATGCTGAAGTTTGCAAAAAACTACTAAGAAAGTATTATTTGCAGAAAGTAAAGAATTATTATTTGTACCCGCACATCACTGAGAGTACCCCTTGGACTGGTCAAACAGACTTGACATCATGACCTAAATGGGTGGTCAAAATCTCAGCTCAATCTGTGTTATAATGAAACCCACAACTTAAAAGGGTCTGTTAGAAACATTAGAAACCCTAAAAGCCCAAAGCCCATTAGATAAGCCCTACGTTTAGGAGGTCCATTTAGCATCGGGTGGGCATCGTTCACTTTGTTTTTTTTTTCCCTCATTCGATTCTCTCTTTTGCTACATCTCCACTGGTTTTAATTTTTTATTTTCATTTCCAAATTCGGATTGCACCAGGTGATAACCTGGTCCCTAAAAGCTTTCACCATTATGAACTATGTTCATAAATGTGTTCGGTACTTTAGTTTATGTCCCATAAGATCATATAACAGAAACTGCAACAAAGTTTCATCTTTGGGAATTTAGAACAGTTAATTATACCAACAGTAATCCAAGAAGTCATTTGAGTTGTTCTGTAACTCAGTAAGGTACAAATCTTCCAAAAGTCAAGTTTATTAGAGTGAGTTCTGGAAAAACAACATGAGCAGAACGTATGAACTACCGGTCTACCACAAACTCTAATTAAAGGTGTTATTAGTTTAAATTAAAAATAGGCTCAGGCACGCAAAAATACAGTCATCAAAGATTGGTCTCTAAATTAATATTATTATTAAAATAAAAACAATCAGGATCGAGAAACGCTTTGGTCATCACAGGCCCAAAAGTATCTATATTAGAGCATTCCCAATGGGAGGTGGATTTCACAAGGTGGAGTAGGAAATCCACCTCCAAACCCACTTTTTTGTTTCCCAATGGGAAGGTGGATTCTGTGACTTCCATCCCACCTAGGTGGGCACCAAGGTGGCCTTTCCACCTTGGTGCCCACCTTCTGAAATGAATCAAACGGCATTTCTAGTGCCGTGCCATGACCACACGGCTGCCGTGCCATTCAATTCATACGGCATTCATAATACCGTGCGATAAAAACCCATACGGCAGTTGGTTTGCCGTGCCATTCAATTCATACGGCATTCATAATACCGTGCGATAAAAACCCATAATCATACGACATTTCATCTGCCGTGCGACTGTTTCGACCTCATATGGCATTCCCAATGCCGTGTGACACTAACAAACCAGTAACGGCTATAATAACGGCTATATCATTGTAACTTCTATATAAACCCCTATGTTCTTTCTTCTTCTTCACACATTTTCTCTTCTTCAACTCAATTTTATTTTTCTTCTTCAATTTCAATTATTTACTGATTCATGGCTTCCCAAGCATCTCAACAACCAAGTCAATCGCAAGGAAAGGTACCACAAATACCTTGGACAATGGGCGAAGATCAAGTTTTGTGTGATGCTTGGTGTACGGTTTCCGAAGATCCGATTATCGGTACTAACCAAAGTGGCAAGGGAATGTGGAAGCGTATACACGAAATCTTCAAGAGTGAACTCCCTCGTAATCAAAACGGTCGAACTCCCGACGCTCTACAAGGTAGATGGAAGCTCATCAACAAGTTCGTGAGTAAATTTAACGGAATGGTGTTTACGATTGAAAATGAACCGCCAAGTGGAAGTACTCGTGATGGCAGGGTATGTTACCTCAAGTTTAATATTAATTTCCAATTTTTTTTTTATCTTTGAACTTGATTATTTACTTTTCCTAATTTCATTTGTTTTTTTTTTTTAGATTCAAATGGCTAGGCAAACATATCAATACGAGATGAAAAAGGCATTCGCATATGATCATTGTTGGAATATCTTATGTGAATGCCCAAAGTGGAATCGTGATTGGGAAACAAAAATGGCAAAGTCTAGAAGGCCGAGGGATGATCTTCTCCCAACACAAACAAGCCAAGACTCCCCTGGTGATGTTGCTAGCAACGAACCAGAACGACCAGAAGGTTCGAAGAAATCAAAG